ATCTCCTCAATATATGTTCCACTCTATATGCATCAGAAGAAGTGGGCTGTAGTCCACGAAAGCTTATGCTCTAATAAATTTGTTAGTCTCTAAGGTGCCACAAGTCCTCCTGTTCTTCTTTTTGCGGATACAGACTAACACGGCTGCTACTCTGAAACTTTTCACTTATAAAGATTATAAACCCCTTGTGGCAGGAACCAGCTTTTTGTTCTGTTTCTACAGCTCCACGCACAATGGAGTCCTGGTCTATGATTAGTGTCCTGAAGCACCAGGGGAATGCAAACAATAAATAACTCCTCTAATAAAATCATTTTCTCAATGTATTCAATTAAAATAGTTCTGAATTTTTTACTCTATGGCTGGATCATGAATATTCAAATTATTTGGTGTCTTTCTGAAAGTCCCAGGTCCTGATGATTACATGAAAATGTCAATTTTTATTTTTTCTTCTTTTTTTAACCAAAGTTTCTAGCCCTTGTAGTTGTGGCGCAAACTTGAAAAGATGACTCTTAAAGAGTTAAAAACCAGGAGGCAAATAAAACGAACTCAGCATGTTTTGTTTTACTCTCATGACTTTGCGGGGTTCTGGGGCCCATTGTTTTTGAATGCTTGGTGCCAGCAATACTATCGTGCGGAGGAGTGATTTGGGGGATAGAAAGGGAACTGAAAAGGAAATCTCTTGTCCAGGGAGTATATTTCAAGTGGAAGGGCCTTTTTCTCCTCTGATTTACGCCACCCTGTAATCCATGCGTTCAACCGGATTGTAGGCATTGTGAAATCAGGCAAAATCTGGCCCTCAGTTAACAGTTCCTCCAGGAACCTGGAGCCGGCAAGGACTTTAGGACAGAGATCTGAAGCTAGGGCAAGTCTTTATTTTTCCAAAATAAAGTCTGCACGCCCTGGAAGGAATTCAGGAATGTGGAATTAAAGGAAACCCCAGCCCAATCCTTAAGGTGGAAGGCTGGGTGGCCCGGGGGTGCTGTGCCCCGGGGGGTGTCTTGGCCAGGCTTGGGGTCCGGGGGAGAGGGGGCGGGTCCT